AAGCAAACCACACACATGAATAACAACTATACAAGAACCTTGGAAGTGCAGTAGCATACAATTTTGAAATTCGCTGTGCAAGGAATGCCACAATATGTTTTTGTTTACAGTATTTTTAAATTGTTGAAAACAAATACTTCTCTTAACTCGCCAGAATGCATACCCACAAAAAACGACAATTGCAAAACTTATTACTAGCAAACATTCAACACTTAGAACAGAACTATTTAAGCACGCTGAATTTCAAAGTTGTATGATTAGCAAAAATCATCTTCACAGGTCTACATTTCTTTTTATTAGATTCCAAAATATTACGTCCTTTTCGGATACTTGTGTGTCTCATAAGTCATAGTTCAAACTTAAAGAGGCGGTAAAAAGATCTTTACAAACTCCATAGTATTTTGATACTCCTATAGTAATTTTAATGATCACTAGAATGTGTTATGTTGTTAAATGAAATTGAGTCAATTGCAAAAGGAAAAAGGAAAACATATTTCCAATTTAGAAGTCATCGATCTAAATTTTGAATAAGACCTTCACATTATGCCTTTGCACCATATTCTTTATGCAAGTAGTATTGATGAAAAAATTTCACTTAAACTAAGCAGTGAAAGTATACAAAGTACACCTAAAAAAAATTTCAAACAAAGTAAATACGGTAAGTAAAGCATTAAAAAAAATAAACAACCTAAGCTATCTATACATTACCAGCTTATTAGGAACTGCACAACGATGGCAGTAAGTAAAGAAAAAAATTTTTGCAAACAAAAGTTCAAAATTCTAATTCTGGGACTTAATATTATAAAAAACAAACAAAAAACTCTCGCTTATGGCCTTAACAATGCCGTTGCTATTAATATTTTTTTTATAAACTCCACTGCCCCTAATACCTCGCGTACTTTATGATACTCTAGTACTTTCTGACTTTAATCATCGCAAAAGCATATTTATGATTTATCTAGATAATATGCGGGAAGGTCAGAGATCAGACTGTGTCACACCGTCTTAATTTTACAACAAAATTAGAGTTCTCCGAAGACGGGATCTCCTTACTGTGGAACAGCATCGAAAAGAGCATTTGAAAAGGTCCTTGTCATGCCCACTTAATAGACATCTCTCTGACGCTATTGGTCCTGAAAAATTAATTTAAAAAGTGACTTTCGGGTAAGCAAAATGTATGCTAGCAAGATTTTATTTTTGTTTCTAACTGACTTAACCTTTACTCAGATACTTCCTTGTCCTTAATTTAAGCAACAGTTTTAGACAAAATAGATCGACCATTGGAACTACTTAAGGCAAATTGCTGAAATGCCCATAAAGTACAATAAAAACGCCTTTATCTAACGCAAGCATTTGATAGGGTAATGCTGCATGACATCCTTGAACTACTAAAGGAACGGGACCTAGATCAAGGGACAATTGAAATATTTCGGAACATAAACAACAGAAATAGCATGTCTATAATCATCGAAGAGATCATCGAAACTGGATGCAAAAGACACAGGATTTGAATGCGAAGTATAAATTCACAATAGTTACAAGAAAATTCAATACGATCATATCTACACAGAAGAGACAATATTTGATAATATGTAAAATGTAAACTGGCAATTATTCCTTTAAATTGTGTAAGGGATTAACAATAGAAGCAATAGGAACCTGGAACGAGAAGATAAAGCGCAAACAACAACAGCGACCAGGACATCGCGATTTCACTGAAAAGTGACCTTGAGGAATAAATTGTGTTGCAAGCAAAACGCGGACATATAAAATTTGTGTGAGACCAGTAATGACATACGCCATAGCAACGATGGAAAAGACTGCAGCTATATATATATATATATATATATATATATATATATATATATATATATATATATATATATATATATATATATATATATATATATATATATATATATATATATATATATATATATATATATATATATATATATATATATATATATATATATATATATATATATATATAATATATATATATATATAAATTTTTAAGAACGACTGAGGTGAAAATAATAGGATCAGTCATAGCTAAAACGTATAGAAAAAGAACAAGATGCAATGAGAATATGTGATCTGTCGGATATAGTAAGATTGGCCAGAATTAAACGAAGAGCATGAAAAGGTCATGTCAATTGTATGGACGATGATCGATTGGCAAAGAGTCCAAATACCATTGGATCCCAGTATCACCACCAAAGCGCTGGTATGAGGGTTGGACATTAGAGTCAAAATTTAAAGTTCCTCTTTGAAAAAGCAAGACTTAGCATTAAAATAAAAAGATCATCCGATAAGCAATTGAAAATTACACTCATTGAGATAATATACAGGATGTAACTAAAACGAATGGGTATAATCTTTGTATCGAAATATTTTGTGTTACTTGTGTTCACAATTTTCCAAATATAAGCACAAAAATTCGCATGTGTTGGTTTTCGGGAATGAGAAATTAGACTGTGTAATTAGTTTTGCAATAAATTGTAGACGAAGCCACCCTCACACAGTTTTTGCCATATCACCACTATATCTTCTTTGTATTTCCTCATGTTTAATTTCTGATACTACAGGGTCATTTTCTAATGCAAAACTAATGGAAAACCAAAAAAGGAAAATTTTGTTAGACATAATTGTAATCAAATCAGTATTTATTTAGCTAAATAAATTAACAATTATTGCAAAAACAAAAGCTTAAAGTAGATGTGATTACCATGTACTTTAATAAATTTTATAATTCATTTAATGACGGATTGTCTTATTTTAAAAAAAAGTTCCGCGTTTTTGAGTCTATTTGGTATAAACCACTTGTTACTTTCGAAAATCGATTAAATCGCATTTTTCGAAAGTTTACGCGCTCTTACCCCCATTGGTACAGAAATGATCAGCGTCGAAAAAAAATTTGTTTTAATTTTGTCTGTTCCCTGTTCTCTGTCGATGCTTCATAAAAACGCGAATAACTTTGGAACCGTTGGCGATAAATGAAAACCCGTTAAACACGGGAAAATTTTATTTCAATAGTATCGTAAACTGTATCTAGAGAGTTTCAGGTTTCGTCCTTTATACGAAATGACGAAACGAGAATGATAAATTTGAAAAAATGTCATTCGACAACGCCATTATTTGTGCAAATTTTAATATTTACCAACGTTTGTTGTAACTTTGAAGTTCAACGAGATGTGAAGGACACTTCATACAGGGCGCATACACAATTAAATTACATCGATTTTGAGAAAGTTCCATGGTGGTCAGCACGATAGAAAAACAATGCGTCTCCCTACGACAAGAAACCGCGAAGGCGACTTTTTTTAAATAAAAAGCTGCTTCGCGCTACGCACTACGAACTTGCCCCGCCCAGCGAGTATTTATCGAAGGCCATCTTGTTTAATATAGCCCCAAAAACAAAAATCCCCTACTGTTGTGAAATGATATAGTTAAAGACTAACCGACGAACACGGACTAGGATTTCTTGCTCCTGATCTAGTGCGATATTTCTTGGACGTCCTCTTCATTGTGATCTTTTTGACGAAAATATACTGAAGCTTCCAATATACATGTTATATTCGTGTCCATATAACATACATATATATTTTCAAGAAACTATTAATATCATCTTGAACATCTCTGGTTTAATATCCTACGCGCAAATTTTGCCCAGTTTTGTAATTCCTTACCTCACTCCGAGATTTACCACTTTTTTGCAATACTGGCGTCTCGTATTTGTCTTGGTCTTCCACGTTTCTTTCTTTTTTGTCTTTTTGTGTGTGTTTACTTCTGTAAATGTCGATTGTCGTATTTCTACGAATACTAGTGTTTCTTATTTTGACCATTTTTGTGACTCCTTTACCTCTTCGCAGGTATTTAATCTCCAGGACTTGATTTAGCTTTTTAGTTGATTAGTGGTCCATGATTCACAACCAAATTTTAAAATTCGTCTTGAAGACATTTATTTTTGGTTTTGTTGATATTTCGGTTTTACTTATGAAGTTTTCTATTCTGTAATCTATCTCTGTTTACCGTTTTCCGTTGTTCTCCATTTCTACCTCTAAATAATTAAAACAAGAAATCATCTAGTCTTATATATATTTATTTGTACTCATTTTCTATCACTTTTAGTTTTGTCGTAGTTTTAATTCGTTTCATTCCAAAATCCATCCAAGCGTTATTCCAGATCGTCGATAAACTCTACTTCGGATACTTTTACATGTCTCACCTACCTTTTAAAATTGTGAAAAAAAAATGAATAAATAAAATTACTTTTATCATCCTGTATTTAAGTAAGTAAGTAATGACTTTACAACATAGGTTTATTAGACAAATCAAAAAATTTTGATACAAATTATATGCTAGTATTCTATCGACCATTCGTTTTGAAACACCCTATATATAGGATGGGCGCTGTTTATAATTATTTAGATATAAAATGTGGTCTATTGTTGTAAACATCCTTGTAAGAAGTCTTATTGACATTAAAAATTTGCAAATTGACTCGACTTTTCAAATTTGCGATATTTGTAAAACAGACGGGTCATTTATCTAACTTCGACTTGGGCGTCAGTGAATAGGCACAGACTTTCTATGATTTTGCGCGAGTCAAGTTTAAAAGCTTTTTGTAGTCTCCGCCACAAAGATAATTACATTCGGCCTATTGTAATAGCGTCAAAGGGAAGCCGACGATTTTCCAAGAAACATTCTTTCGATTGATTTTACAGTAGTTTCCCAATATCTCAATAAATTTTAATAAAGAAAAATAACCGACTCACTTTAACCCAGTTGTTTACCGGAAATGGTTATATTTTATGGGAAACGGGTTTTCAAATAAAAACAAATAATGGGGTTAATTAAGCGCACGAGTTAATGTATGCATTTTTTACTGACTTTTTTTCGCCGTCATTGTAACACCTTCCAAGGATACTTTCCTACTTTTTATGCTCGCTATATAATAACTTACGATCGAAGAAAATCTCTTCAATTCGCGATTCCTTCTTATTCTTCTGTGTTATGATGCCGACTAGAAATTTTCACGTGAGTATTTATATATATAAGTTCCACAAGATGGCGATAGGTTTTCATTGAAATCTTTATTGAATTTTATCAGCACTCGTTTTCTATAATGGGTGTTTCAAAAAATAAGAGGTGGTTTGTCATATAAATGATGGGTCAAAAGTTAACCATAAGTGCAGGGAATTCAATTAGACTAGCCCTATCATTAACTAAATTTATGAAAAACTTTATGCAATAGCATAAAACAAAATTATTTTGTTTTATGTAAAAACTATTGTCTTCTGCAATTTTTTCATATTAATGAAAATGAATGAAATTAAAAAATTAAATCTAAAGCAATGCATAACAAGAAAAAAATTCATGATTCTTGATTTATATAACCTTACTCCATTCGTTTGAATACTAAATACGAAACGATGATACAGTATTGGATCAAAATATGGATGTATGTGGATCCGATGTAACACTAACAATGAATGTGATATTCTGCGGCCGCAAAGAAGGCTAACAAAATATTGATAGTTAAAAAAAGGGCGATGGAGAAAGAAATGTTACATCAATCAAGGAAGATTTGAGGAAGAAAATAATCCCCATTGAGACTGGAGTGGGGCCTGAAATGGATCGTTCTACAAAAAATGGTAGATTAATACTCAGTTGTGTAATAACGTAACGTAACGTGTGTAATAACGTAATTATCCCATTAAAATGTTAGAGTTAATGAGTCCGAAGTAGATAGTAATGATGAAAAAATAATAACAACAAATTCAAAACCGTATAATTGTCATAAAAATGCATTTAAAGTCCTAAGCAAAGATTTAATATTATTTTTGAAATACACTTAGATAGGTGCCAAACCTTAATGGGACAAGAACAAATGAATATTGGCTGGAATCGTTGTACAATTTACAATAATTATGCAATTCATGGATGCTTTAAATGCAGTAAATCTTTTCATTTGACTAAGAAGTGTAAGAATAAAAAACTGTGTCCAAAATGCAGTGGTAAATATGATATAAAAGACTGCACAAGCGTCCAAATTGTGTAGCAGCCAAAAACAAAAATAGTTTGAAATGAAATTTTGCCCATACAGCACAACAGACCAACGAAATAAATTTGTGAAAAAGTTGACTTTATGAATTCTTATGAATGGCTTTGAAATAATAATCTTTGTATAAACACGGACAAATTACATCAACAATATTAATTGTATATCTGGAATAAGAAAAATTTGTCAATTCAAAGCATGTTGAGTATACTTAAGTGCTTGTCTGTAAAACCAAAAGTAATGTTTAATGTATATGTATTTATTTTTAAAATTAATGAGCAGTGTGCTCCCAATTATGTTTGTGAAAAAGATATCAATTTCATTCTGTCATTCTGACAATACACGAAATTGTTGAGAGAATGTTATTATTAAATTTAAAAGATTTTTAAGACATCATGTATTCTCCAAATTTTGATTTGTGTGCTTAGCTCTTAGTTTCACTTTATATTAAAAAATTCTATTCACTATTTTTATTTAGCATAATGCTAAATAAAGATATATTATTACTATTATATGATCAATTTACGGAAAATGTATTATCTAATCATTTAATTGTCTAATAATATGGGTTTTAATTTAATAATGGCGAATTGCACTAACGCAGATATGGGAAATTTGCATCTTACGTACAGGCTTGCAAACAGCTTGAGTTTGTCGTCTTTAATTATACACACAAGCGTATCCTAAGCGTAAGCTTCTTCTTCATAGCTTATTTACCAAAATTCATCAAAGACTGCTCGAATCTGGATATTTCGAAAAAAAGAGTTTTGACACGGGCCGATACGGTGAAGTTCTAACTTCCAGATTAGGAGTTGCTGTGCCAAATATTATTGAAACACAACCGGAGGTAAGTACCAGGAAAACTGCCGACGAATTAAATATTGATGGATAAACTGCACACATTTCAAACGAAGGATGATTTGTTCTCAATAGTTTTTCCGAGCGAATATTGATGATTTTATTTTTTGGAAGCTAGTTTTCGCAACTTTTAAAACCGGCATATAAGGGCTGAAGATAATCCGCAAATCAACAACATGTAGACATCAATTTGCCGTTAACGTCTGGCCAGGAATTATCGATGGTCACTGTGCCACATTTTCCACCTTCAAAATTAACTGGTATATCCTATTTTTGTTTGCTGCAACACAAATTACGTGCTTTGCTAGAAAATGTCCTCTTATAAACTAGAACAATCATGTTGAAACTCAAGCACATTCAGTTTTTCAGATTTAAAACATTTGAAATATTATGTCTGGGTGTTACTAAAAGAATTAGTCTACACAAGATACCTAAAACCTCAAAATCCGATGATTGTGGCCTGTGATGTCATAATAAATTATCCAGGCATATTCCAGCATATTAGGGACTCAATGGTGCCTAGGGTAAATGCATGTATGTAGGCAAGGCATCACTTACGTTAAAAATTGTTTTTGTTTCCCTTAGCTGACTAGCTTATTTGTTGTGTTTTTATTTAAGTTAAATTTTATAAATAAAATGTTTTTAAAGAATTTATTTATTGGTAATTTACACGTAAATAGATGAGTTTTGAGAATGTTTATTAAAAACCCATTTTTAAAATGTAATTGTTTGGAAGACAATTGATAAATGTTGGTTCAAAATACAATTGCTTGACAACAACCAACTAAATTGTTCTCCTAAAATATTTTTTTGCACATTCAATGAAGAAGGTAACAGACGCTGAGGTTATCCAAAGGATAAACAAAGACTGTGAAACAATAAACACAATCAAAAAACGAAAATTTCAGTATTTGGCCACACGAGGGAAGAAGTAATCACTACTGTGAAATATCATGCAGACAAGATAAAGAGTAGCCGAAGTGAAGGTTGACGGAAGATCCATGCCGGTTGTGGAATTTGATAGAATGGAGTGACTGCAGCTCCAGAGTGAGATTAGTCATGACGATATTCAATCTTCGCTCGCAGTAATACCAAAAGAAGAAGAGGAAGACGAACTTTTATGAAAAAAATGAATCTAAATTTACTTTTTTCCATGTCATGGCGTAAGTTTCTCTTAAAATTTAACTAGGAAAAATATAGGGTAAAAGGTATTCGAATGAGTTTTCATAAAAGTGGTACTTCCAAATTATTTTATTCTTCTTTTTTCGTTTCTAAGATAAGAAATAAAAACATTATTTTCCCCCATATTTGTAGGGCGATATCTGGCTAATGACCAACCAACCAATTTTGACCAACGTTTATCTAACATACTGTCTGTTTGTTTAATCAATTAAGTTTTCCACATTTGTTTCGAAACACCCTTCATAAGCACCGAGCATACCATGAAACTTTCAGAGCTTAAAAAATTTAAAACTTTTTTACAGCACACTATCATCGTGGTTGCAGTGATTATGATTTTGGTGTCAGCTGAACGCCAAAATCCACAGTATTTCGGAAAGTACCAAGCGATCAGTCACCCTATCAGAATCTATGAGGAGCCCAATTATCTGGGCAGGTTAACTCGGCTTTATTATCAGGAGCCCAAAAAAGTGTTGGTAAAAGTCTACACGGAAGAGGAAAGAAAGTATCTGGTTAAACCAGAGTTCGAACGGCAGTTTGCGTCAGAGTTCAGGTCAGACCGAGAGTATTTAACGAAGGAGGAAGAATGCGATTAGAACCGCACCAACGTTTTAGCACTTACTTATTACACTTTTATCGGAATCAGAGTTGTTATATTGTTAGCACTTAATTAACACTTAATGCTTTAGTAAAAGACATCCTAAGATAATATCTCTTAATTTCCATAATTCCTGAATTTATTTTGCAAACATGTGTGTCCAAGATAATGAGGTCAATCATTTCGATATTGGAAATCATAGAGATGTGAAGAAGTTTCAATTAGAAAAAAGTTACAAATTTTAAAAAGTAATAACGTGATGTTGAAAAAACTAAAAAATTACAATCACTTCCAAATATACGCCACATTGTTTAAATTTAAAAAAGGGATTTTATTAAATTTTCAATGTGTTGCTGATGCTAAGTAAAAGTAAAAATGGTGAAATGATAGATAAACAGATAGATCATGTCACATGCTAATTCATTAAAGAAATTACTTCAAAAAAATTACTAAAAATAATTGTAAATAATGTCCAAACTCAGATAACACCTTTTAACTTATGTTTTTTAAACATTTTTAACAATCAATCGTAATGTTTTGAAAGACTTGAAGAACTAGTCCTCTCAGTTGACATATAAAAAAATCGACTGGAGTCAGATCTTGCGAACAGGGCCTCCACGAAATTGCTGAGTGGCTACCTATTCATTTTTCGCCAAATCTGTCCAAAACTTCTTCAATGTCGTGCTCCAAGAGGTTTTACTAAGGCTAGCAGTTAAGAGAACCATTGTAAAAAAGGGCCAATTAATATATTTATTGCTGTGCCAAATATACATATTACACTGCAAAATAATATATGGTACCAATTTTGTGGCAAACAAAAGGCCTAATAAAACGCAGACATCCAGCAAAAATCGACACTGTTCAAGCCTCAATTTAATGTAAACCAAATTACCCTAAGAAGAAAAAAAATCAAACATTAATCATAAAATATAGTTTTCAATACAGAAAGAAGTCCTAGGACAAAAGAGAAAAGAGGGGGTAATGGTAAACCGCCGAGTGGTTTTCCGATACAGAAGTTATTGAGTTCCAAGAAGATATTTTTTATACCGGTTTTTAAAAGTTTTGGTTGATATTGTTAAAACTTAAATTATTTGTTGTATGTGCAATAGTGTACTTGATTTTTAGGCGATATATTTTTTTTCTCTGTGCTACCTGAAAATCTGATACTTCATAGAAAATAAAAAATTATGCCGCCGGGTAAAAGGCTTTAAGTGCAATAGTGGCTTAGCTCATTCAAAAACTCATTTTCCTATTTAAATAACACAGAAATTTTTTTTTTTTTGGTTTTCACTTGATTTTTCGACTTGAAGAAATTTTTTTTGGGAAAAACGCGTGTCTAGCTTTTGTAGTGCATAAAATTTGCTACAAAAAGTTCCTATACGTACATTCTCTACGACCAACAGCTTTTAAGTTATAGAGCTGTGAAAATAAATGTTCATTATAAGTGATATCAAATCATTTCTAAATTAGGATTTATTATTTTTACATTAAATAGCAATTAATTATAAACAAAAGAATGCTTTATTTGAGTTATTATATGATTCAAGTTTCTAATTTCCAAAATTATTTTTTAATCAAAAAGAGAAAATTAAACGTCAATTATAAAAAAAAATTAATTATAATTAACTAATAATTAATTACAGACATTTAGAAACTATTTATGTTTGTAATCCAGTAACCACTGCCAAATTTAGTGAACAAACATAAATTTTGATTAATAAATATTGATATGTAGAAGTGTAATTTTTTATGTAATTTAATAACATAAAAAATTACACTTCTACATATGACTAATTATTAATTAAAATTTATATTCGTTCCCTAAATTTTAGAGTGGTGACTGGATTACAAACATGAATAGTTTCTAAATGTCTATAATTAATTATTATTTAATTATAATTAATATTTTTTTAAAATTTGAATTTTAATTTTCTCTATAAAATAATTTTGGAAATTAGAAACTTGAATCATATAATAACCCAAATAAAACGTTCTTTTGTTTATAATTAATTGCTATCTAATGTAAAAATAATAAAATCTAATTTAGAAATGATTTGATATCAATTATAATGAACATTTATTTTCACAGCTCTATAAGTTAAAAGCTGTTGGTCTGGGAGAATATACGCATAGGAACTTTTTGTAACAAATTTTATGGTCTACACAAGTTATAAACGCGTTTTTCCCAAAAAAAAATTCTTCAAGTCGAGAAATCAAGTGAAAATCAAAAAAAAAAAATTTTCTGTCTTATTGAAATAGGAAAATGGATTTTTAAATGAGTTAAACCGCTATTGCACGTAAATCCTTTTACCCGGCGGCGTAATTTTTTATTTTCTATAAAGCATCAGATTTTCAGGTAGCACAGAGAAAAAAAAACGCCTAAAAATGAAGCACCCTAATATGCAATGCTATATAAAAAAAGATCTTTTAATCATTTCTAATCGATGTTGTGATTTTTTCAATTTAAAATTTTTTCTCAGATGCAAGTCACGAGCATCTGTACGAAAAGTGATTGTTAAAAAGATATTCGGGAGATTTATACTTAATTAATTTCAAATAGAATGTAGCACGTTGTAAGCTAAACCTATTGCATATGTTAAGCCAACCGAAAACAGCCGAGTATAGAGAAATATGATCCTGTCGGCGAACGCCATAAACAACATGAATTTTGTATCTTCTGGATACGATATTGATCAGCAGCGTCCAGGCAGATTGCCTATACACCTCAGCAATGATTGAATTGTGACAGAACCATGGATTCACAAAGTAGTTTCTTCGTAACAATTGGACGAAAACATCTATGACTATATATTACTTTTAAATTCCCATATGCTATTGTCAATTTGATGATGGTATGGGTATGGTATAGGAGTGTCATTATTTTTTATGGTCATTTTGTTTTTAACATTATGTACCTGGGAGTCATTTCCAACAACCAACACCGGCGACTTAGTTGAATTTAGCTGCAGTAGATGATCGGATGCAGTTTTATAAAAGATTATTAAGTCAATGTTAATTTTAGTCTCAGGTTGCGTCATTTCAGGATCTTGCAAAGAAAAGTAAATTTCAAAGATCGTCAGCCTTACCATAGTTTAAAGCCTTTACAAAGTTAAACTTATAAATTGTATGCAACAAGGGACCCAATATGCTACCTTGCGGTACTCTTAATTCAACAAATTGTCTCAAAACACCTGCTGAACTTTAAAGGATAAAAACGAATTTAAAAACATGCGTGCGGCTTCACTAAACGCAATGTAGCGCAAAATGGAAATAAGCAATTTATGCCAATTTTGCCTTCATCCGATGTCTGCAGTAAATCATCTGTAATACTGATCAAAGCACTCTCACAACTATAATCTTTTCTAAACCCAGATTGTTTTGTAGTTAATATATCAATAAGAGCTAAGAATTATCTTATTTAGCAATTATTTTTTCTAAAACTTTAGAGAGATTAGGATTAAGATTTTGGAAATTAAGAGTTCAATATACATTACACATTATACAATGACGTGTATAATAAAAGGGATTATAAAAGGACAACAAAACTGTATTACAGTAATATTTAATTTATCATCACCTGTGTTATGTCATCCAAAAATCGCAAGCCTCAAAAACGAGCATTATTTATTAGCATGCTTCAGTGCGACCAACTAATCTTATTGAGTAAGTGTGCGCGAAATATTCTTCGAAATTCTTCATCACCAGATTTGAGTGCTAGACAAATCTTAAATTTGAACGGATAAAATTTTTGTTTTCTCATAATAAAATGAGCCATATATTTCCCGATTCCAGTTGTAGGTTCGTCTTTTCTAACAGAATGTTTCCGGATTTTAAGTTAAATCTAAAAAAGTTTATTTTTGAATAAAAATGGGGTCATCAATATACTAAACTATCCAAGATTTGTAGTTAATTTTTAAAAAAATTTTGTAGTCTGCTCTCTTGTCGCTGGGTAGTTCACTAAATACATACCCCATCTCTTCTACTCAGATGAAAAAGCATTTTCCATTTTGTGTAGTATAAAAGAACCAACAGCAAAAAGAGACAAGACAAAACACAATGACGTAAAAAATTCACCAAAACATTGAAAATTGGATAAAAACTCTATTTTGCGATTTAAGCAATGTATACATAGTGTAAGTTTTAGGCGGACTATACAGAAAGCATGTTTTTCACCAAAAAAATTAAAAAAAAAATTGTCAAAAACTACTCACCATTTCGTATGCTCTGTAACGTACTACTCAAAATCAAGCGAATATTCATAGCATTCCATTAAAAACGAAACACCCTGTATTCATAAAAATACCATAAATAAAATATATACTAAGGATCAAACAGTTTTTACCTTTCATCTTTTTTTCCTCAATGTCGTACTTATTGAGATAAAGAATAAGGAGCATCTTAGATGACCACCATTCCCTTAGGTACTGGAAAGACTTCTTGGTGGGTTATTAGAAAAAAGGTTCAATCTGGCTCAGCGAGAATGTCGTTTTTCAGATGTGTTAAACTTTCATTTTGCTTTTTTTCTTAATATTATTTTTCGGAAAATTTATTCTTTGTGTTAAGTTTATATGTATTAAGGAATCATTCCATAATGTTAAAAAAGCTTTATCGAATTTATTTATTAAAAAAAAGAAAGTATTACAGAAAACTAACGTTTGTCGTCACACATTCGAAAATGGTTCGAGGGCCACAAAAGATGTTCGAAGATGCATTTTTCTAGCGCGTCAAGCTGCGCCGCGTGGCAATTCGCCAACGGTATCTTGAAAATATTCGCCATCGGCGACAAAGCGTTCCGGGGGAAGCCCTAGCAGGGCCTCTGTAAAACATCCAAGGGTGATTTGAAGCGTCTTCCGTGACGTACGAATGGATTTCAGTTTACCCCCCGCGGCAACGGAACGACTTTGCTCGAGGCTCTAATCAGATGGACCGACTCAAAACACAATGGCCACTTTCCCAGCTATTTTTTTCGCCACGATTGTAATTTCGCCCAGAGCGAAAATTCCACGCTGAACAGCGAATATTAGAACTAAATTCATATGAAAGTGTTTTTTTTTTTGTAAAATTATAAAATAAAATAAATTAAATTAGAAAATCAATACTGATTTCATAGAAATAAGCAAATATCTAGACGGACCGAGACAGTGTTGCCAGTGTTAGATATCGCATTGGTTTTTTACCGATTCAGCATACACAGAATAATATTTTTAGGTATTCAAGAGTATTTATTTAATGCATGTATTTAATGCACAACACAATATCCATTTTATTACAATGTATTTTCATTTTATATATAATTTACAAATTATATAGATGTTTTTAAACTGCCCGCGTTAGTTATAAAACTTTAAAAGCCACTATCTGACTCCATTAAAATGGAGTATAGTAGTATATA